CGCACTGCCCCTCGCCCCCCCCCCGCCGCTCTTTCTCGCTCCAGGTCCTCCCCAGGTAGACCCCCTCCTCGCGCCAGGTCCTGCTCCTTCAGGTGTTTCTCAGGTAGACCCTCCCGTGCCTGCGCCTGTTGAGGTCACTGGTGACTCAGGTCCTGTTGGGGGTGGTCCTGCTCGGGGTGCTGTCTCTGGGGGTGCTGAGCCTGGGGGTGCGGAGCCTGAGCGTGAGGAGCCTGGGGGTGCTGAGCCTGGGGGTGCGGACCTGAGCGTGAGGAGCCTGGGGGTGCTGAGCCTGGGGGTGCGGTGCCTGAGCGTTCCGAGCCTGGGGGTGCGGAGTCTGGGGGTGCTGAGCCTGCGTGTGAGGAGCCTGGGGGTGCTGAGTCTGGGGGTGCTGAGACTGCTGTTCCGCGGTCTCCTTGGAGTAGCCGTCTTCGTGCGCGTGTGCCTCTCACCTCACAGCAGTTGCACGACTGGTACGGTCGCCGTCAGGGTCGCGCTTCTGGAGCTCGGGGCTCTGCTGCTGGAGGTACTTCTGCTGTCGTCACTGGAGCTGAGAGTGGTGCTGGTCCCGGAGGTGCTCGTACTGGAGGTACTGGAGCTGCTGGGGCTGGAGGTACTGCTGAGCCTGAGGGTACTGAGGCTGGTGACCCTGGGACTGGAGGTGCTGGTTTTGGGGGTGCTTCTGCTGAGGGTGCTGGAGCTGCTGAGGGTGCTGGAGCTGCTGGAGGTGCTGAGGATGCTGGAGCTGCTGAGGGTGCTGGAGCTGCTGAGGGTGCTGGAGCTGCTGGAGGTGCTGGAGCTGCTGAGGGTGCTGGGGCTGCTGGTGCTGGTGGCGCTGCGCAGCCACGACTGTTCTTTGCTCCGCCGTCTCCGTCGTCTCTGCCACCGTCTGACTCCGTGCTTCGCCAGGTTCTTAGCCTCCCGTCGTCTACTGGTCTTCCGTTACAGCCTGGCTCACCGCTGCCTGCTCCTTCTCCTTACACTGAGCAGTCAGGAGGTCTTGCTGAGCGTCCTGAGCCTGCGTCGCGTCCTGTCTCGCCTGTCCGTTCTGGTCGTTCTGGTTGTCGTGTTCCTCGTCAGCGTCAGCCGGCTGTTCCAGGCACCCACCTTGTAGTCCGTCGTCTTTCCTCTCCTTCGCCTCGTGTTCCTTTGCCATCCCCTCCTGCGTCCTCTCTGCCTGTCGTTGCTGACCCTGAGTCTGACCAGTTTCGTACTGAGCACCCTACGGTCACGCGTCTGTTAGCCACTGTTGTCACTGACCCGTCGTTTGAGTCCACTGCTGCGTCTGCCCTAGTAGCTGAGCTTGTCGACTTTGCTGCAGCATGTCGTCTAGACTACGCCGCTAGTCTTGTTGCTGAGTCTGAGTCTGTCTGTCCTCCGTCCGTCGGGGGTGAGTGTGCTCTTGGCACGGACGTCCTTGAGGACAGGCAGGAGGACCTTGAGTGTCTTGCAGCCGCTGCGCCTCATCTCGTGTCCATGCTGCTTGCCCCTGAGGGAGACCCGGATGCTCCAGACATCCCGACCCCGCGCTCTTACGCTGAGGCGATCGCGGGTGAGTACTCCTCTCAGTGGCAGACAGCCATGGATGCAGAGATGGCATCCTGGAAGTCCACAGGCACCTAAGTCGACGAGGTTCCCCCTCCTGGGGCGAACATCGTCAGTGGCATGTGGATTTTCAGGGTGAAGCGGCCGCCGGGTTCTCCGCCTGTCTTCAAGGCTCGTTACGTTGCTCGAGGTTTCAGTCAGCGAGAGGGAGTTGACTTCTTCCAGACCTTCTCCCCCACCCCGAAGATGACCACTCTTCGGGTGCTGCTGCACGTTGCCGCTCAGCTTGACTACGAGCTTCACTCTCTTGACTTCAGCACAGCTTTCTTACAGGGCAGCCTGCACGAGGAGATCTGGCTGCGCCGCCCTCCTGGCTTCACTGGGTCGTTCCCTCCTGGTACCCAGTGGAGCCTCCGGCGGCCAGTCTACGGTCTCCGTCAGGCGCCGCGTGAGTGGCACGACACACTGAGGACGACACTTGCGGCTCTTGGGTTTGCTCCGTCGACTGCTGACCCGTCGCTGTTTCTACGCACCGACACTTCACTGCCGCCGTTCTACATCCTCGTGTACGTCGACGACTTGGTCTTTGCCACTGCTGACACTGAGGCTCTCGCCCTGGTGAAGTCGGAGCTGCAGAAGAGACACACGTGCACAGACCTGGGTGAGCTGCGTAGCTATCTTGGCTTGCAGATCACCCGGGACAGAGCACGCCGCACCATCACACTGACTCAGTCACACATGGTGCAGCAGGTTCTTCAGCGCTTCGGCTTCACCTGGTCCTCAGCACATGCCACTCCTCTGGCTACAGGTCACTCGCTCTCAGCTCCACCTTCGGACGAGTCCGTAGAGCCGAGTGGTCCTTACCCAGAGCTAGTGGGCTGCCTCATGTACCTGATGACCTGCACCCGTCCTGACCTTGCGTACCCTCTTGGCCTTCTGGCTCGCTACGTGGCTCCTGGTCGGCACCGAAAGGTGCACATGGATGCTGCTAAGAGGGTACTGCGCTACTTGTGCAGTACATCAGGCATGGGGCTCGTGCTTGGAGGGAGGAGCTCAGTTGTTCACACTGGGCACTCAGACGCTTCTTGGGTTGACGACCAGGCTACTCAGCGGTCGTCACAGGGTTACACCTTCAGCCTTGGCTCTGGTTCAGTTTCGTGGCGTTCTACACGCTCGTCTTCAGTTCTCAGCTCCAGTTGTGAGGCTGAGATCTACGCCACAGCCATGGCTGCACAGGAGTTACGCTGGCTCACCTACCTGCTGACTGACTTGGGAGAGCGGCCTCGTTCTCCTCCAGTGCTGTACGTCGACAACAAGGCTACCATTGCCTTGTGCGAGGAGCACATACTGGAGCACAGAACGAAGCACATCGCTCTGCGTTACTTCCTGGCTCGAGAGTTGCAGCAGCGTGGTCACCTTCGTCTGCGTTACGTGGCCACTCAGGCCAACACTGCTGATATATTCACCAAGGCACTTCAGGCTGGTGATCATCAGCGTTTCTGCACTATGCTAGGGCTTGTGCCCACTTTTCCTCACTTGCTGTAGGCCTTGCTTGTACTGTGATCTATATATGTATCCCTGCATGTTTGCATTGCTAGGTAGAGATCACTGTGATGTTTGTGTTGCATATATGCCTCTGCATGTGAACTGGCCTTGTGGCCCTTTGCTTGTGCTCAGTGTGTGTGGTAACTTTGTGATCCACCCTGAGCTTGCGTTGTCTTTCTTGACTGGTCTTGTGACCTCTTGCTCCCCCCCACTTTGCCTATGGGGGTGTGTCAAACATATGTTTATATCATATTTGTGGGTAGGCTGTAGTGGGGTAGATTATGTGGGGTATAACCCCTTAGGGTTTTCCCTTGTACTCAATTCTCTCGATAGTGCAACTCACTCTTGCCTAGGTATTCTAACATGATTCTCTATAACACCCCCCTTTTCTTACGAAACCCTATTATAGCTGTTATTGAGTCAGTTTTTTTACGGGAGGATATGACGAAAATCGCTTCCTGAATGAAATTTCGCGTGCACTTTCACTTCGAATCTACCGAGATTCCCTCCCTTCCACAATCTCGATGTCGCCACGCTGGCGAATCTTCCGCTGCACGTGGCCCGAGAGGTGAAACTCACATTCTCGCCAAAACTCGAATTCTCGCCTCAACCTGTGATGTTAAAACGACTATTGAAACACCCAAATTGTCTAATTTTTTTTTTCTTACACTAAAAAGTGCCATATATAACCACCCGGGTATTATATAGGATTTTCCGTTGAGAGGACCCCCCCCCTTTTTTCCCTGTGGTTATAATAATACCCCCGGGTGTTATGTCCGGGTGATTACGGTAGTAACAATGGGAACATGCCCCCACTTATGGGCAAAAGAACCAGCAGATTAGGGTTCAGATGTTTTCTACCGATGACTTTTGAAAGCCAGTGGGGTTGAAGACCAGAACTCTTGGGCAGCAGCTAACAGCTACTATTCAGCAGCATTCGCGTGATGGGAGCTGTTCGAGTGATGGGAGCTGTTGCGGAGGGCGAAGATGATGATGAAGGCCCGGACGAGACGAAGCACACTACCTGCCGGAGAAACCACCAAGGACCCAGTGGGAGACAGTGATGAGAGCGGTCAACTTGGCCTTGCTCCTGCTGAATAGGCCCTGCCAAGAGGGAGAGCAGGGCAGGTAAGGAAGGCAAGGAAGATGAAGGCTGAGAACTGGCAGAGCACACTGCCTGGATATTCGCCCAGTTCAAAAGAACCACTCCACCGTTTTAAAACGCAGCTCTCCGTTACAAGAGTGGCATATTGGCCTTGTGCCTAACCGAATAGGGCCAGTTAGGGTTTAGGGGAAAATGGTAGGTAGGTGGGTGACGACAGTGAGGGTAGAGTAGGACAGGGCCCAGGGGGTAGCGTGGGAGATTGAGGGCTGCTTCTCGCTTTTGTGAAAGGACCATACACCCCACCCACCTGCACCATACACCCCACCCACCTGCACCATACACCCCACCCACCTGCACCATACACCCCACCCACCTGCACCATACACCCCACCCACCTGCACCATACACCCCACCCACCTGCACCATACACCCCACCCACCTGCACCATACACCCCACCCACCTGCACCATACACCCCACCCACCTGCACCATACACCCCACCCACCTGCACCATACACCCCACCCACCTGCACCATACACCCCACCCACCTGAACCATACACCCCACCCCTGCACAGAGGGATTAGTGGATGGGAGAGCGAGGGTGAGAACTTTGAGGGTCCTTGCTAAACGGACAATCACTCATAGAAGCATTAATAACGACCCACCACCACTTTGAATGCACACTTACCACCATTTTGGTTGCACACTGGTTTACCCCTCACCTCACTGTCGTACCTTATGACACTGCAAAACGATTTGAGCATCTGCTGCCCTCCTATCTATCCTCCCCTCACCTCACCACCTACTCAGAAGCAGGGCACGAGGAACTCAAAGCGAGTGGCTGTGCTGTGGCAACCCATGGGCTGGAGAGGAGGGAGAGAGTGGAGAGGTGCGATCCACAGCAGGATGCGCTGCCATGCTCCTCATGATGCCTAGGGATAGGTGCACGCCGTGGCGCCCCGCCATGATAGCTCTGAGGGGGTGAGCAGTTGGGGGTGGAGGGGGGGGTCGTTTAAAACCAGGGTGCACATTCAACGCGGTTCGGCTTGAGATGTTGGGAAGGGGGTTTGGAGAAAAACAGTGATTGGCTCACGAGGGGCGACAAAAAAATGATTCCGCTAGAGCTTCGGGCATTTCGTAGGTGGCGGGAGGGGGTGAAATGGCGGGAGTGGGTGAAACCGAATGGCGGGAGGGATGAAACAGATTGGCGGGAGGGGGGGGAAACGAAATTGCGGGGGAGGGGGGAAACAAAATTGCGGGGGAGGGGGGAAACGAATTTCGACGGGGAGGGGGAAATGAAATTGCGGGGGCGTGGGGAAACGAAATTGCGGGGGAGGGGGGAAACGAATTTCGACTTGAAGGGGTTGAAAGCACACCTCGTAACCCACTCAGTCAAGGGATAACCTTTGATGCACATTCAGCTGAATGTGCACCCCGGTTTTAAAAGGGAGCAGGGACAGCCGAGACATTGGTACAGGCAATGGAGTGGGACAGCTGTGGGATTTCGGGTGGGGGAATGGAGGGTAGGGAAGGAAAATTTTTGAAAGCAATGAGGGAGAGAGGTAAGGTGAGAGGAGGTGCAAGCTGTAACGCTCCGCCATGATGTGGTGGACGAGGTGGGTGGATAGGGGGAGCGGGGGTGGGGAGTGGGTGGGCAAGGAAGAAGCAATGAGGGAGGCAAGTCTAGTTAGGGCGAGGAGAGTTGCACACTGTAGCGCCCTGCCATGATATGGTGGAAGAGGTCGGAGGTTGGAAATTGAGTTCGGGAGTAGGGGGAGAAAGGGAGGAAAGTGAAGATGCAAGAGAATGGATTTCCTGGCTTTGGGATTGTAGCCTGTGCCTCATGCAAGCAAGGCAGGTGGGCACATGCAGGGGCAGGGCAGGCAGTGACCTGCCAAGTTGTTTAGCAACAACCATTGCAGTGAGTGCCAGAGCCCGTGCAAGGGCATGGTGGGGGGGAAATGGGTTAGTAAGATGATGGTGTGATTGAAAAAAAGGTTTGATGGTGTGATGGATTGACGGGATAATGAGGTAATGATGAGATGGTGGTGTGAAAGGATGATAGGGTGATGGGGTGATGGGATGATGGTATGATATGTTGGTCATGGGGTGATGAGATCATGGGGTGAATAGAGTGCCAACAGCAGTGGTGTCGAGAGAGGCGACAAACGAGAGCACACAATCAATTTAGTATCGATAAATGGCGACACGACCCAGGGCGCCTTCACCAAGACCAGCGACGCCTCGGCAGGCATCAGCGACCAACCAACGTGAGCAGGAAACACCACATATCAGCTGCGCTTGGACTCGCAACGCGCAATAGCCCTTCATCACCACATCGGGGCGGCCTGCAGCCGAGCTTACCACCGCCCTCGGACCCGTGACGTCCAGCGTTCCTGCTCCTGGCACCCACCACCCACCCCACCCACCTGCTGCACCCACCTGCTCTGCTCCTGGGACCCAACCCAACCCACTCGCCTGCTGCACCCAGCCTACGCGCTGCAGGTCCTGCCCCTACCTGACCTGGCCACACGCCCCGCCTTGCTCTCCCCTTGCCGAACAGGCTGTGCCTTTCTGTGACTGACGGCTCACACATAAAGGGAGCATCTCTTGGGCATATCATCCCCACAACATCCCTTATCCCCTAATCACTCACCCGCTGGTGCGGCCACTCGCGCATGTCCTGCGCTGCGCTAGCTTACCTACAAAAAGGGGGATAGGAGGGGAAAGGGCACGAGAGGGTAAACTGGGGGACGTAATCCTTGCACAACTGCAGGGGGGGGGGATGTGAAAGGGAGGGGAGATGGGAAAGGACGGGGGTGGGGCGAAGGGCTAAGGGTGGGAGATGACGCACGGTGTGCACATGTGCGCTCCCAAGGATGGACGCGAGCTAGGAGGGGTGGAGCGGTGCAAGGGGGGGAGAGTTGACAACCAGAGTACGACTGTCGAGCATTCCCCCCGGCGAGCAAACTCCCACAGCTTCCTCACAAACCAACCCCCGCCCCACCACTCCCCCACCTCTTCCCCTCCCCACCCCCCCACATACCTCACGAGAGGCGTTGGCGATCTCGTTGCTGCAACACTTGAACGCGCATCCACTTTTGCTCTCGATGCCCTTCCGACTCCACTCTCCCACCCTCATTTACCCTCCCCCTTTTCCCAGGCCTCTCCCAGCCCTCTCTCAGCTTTCTCTCAGCCGAACCTTCTCCCCGCCCCCACCTCTCCCCTCTCCCACACGTCTCCCCCCAACCCCTCCCCCTTCCCCCCTGCCTCCCCCCCTCTTCCCCACCTCGCGGAAGGCGTTGACTATCCCGCCGCGACGCACCAGCCGGATCTGCACGCACCGTTACGCGTCACATTGGCGCGCGCAGCAGGCGTGCGGAGGGGGCGGGGGTTGGAGGGCCTGAGGGGCGCGAATGGCGCATGCATTAACACCAGCTTGTGCAGCACGACGCGTTCTGCTACTGCTGGTACAACGCCCTCATACACCTGCTGGGAGAAGGAGACGGGGGGAAAGGGCACGGGGGAGAGGGAAAAGGGGGAATGCTTCGAGATGTCTCAAAAGACAAGCACCATGCGGTCTGCTACTGCTGGAACGAGTGGGGATGGTACAGAGTGGAACGAGTGGGGATGGTACAGAGTGGAACGAGTGGGGATGGTACAAAGTGGAACGAGTGGGGATGGTACAGAGTGGAACGAGTGGGGATGGTACAGAGTGGAACGAGTGGGGATGGTACAAAGTGGAACGAGTGGGGATGGTACAGAGTGGAACGAGTGGGGATGGTACAGAGTGGAACGAGTGGGGATGGTACAGAGTGGAACGAGTGGGGATGGTACAGAGTGGAACGAGTGGGGATGGTACAGAGTGGAACGAGTGGGGATGGTACAGAGTGGGGATGGTACAGAGTGGAACGAGTGGGGATGGTACAGAGTGGAACGGGTGGGGATGGTACAGAGTGGAACGAGTGGGGATGGTACAGAGTGGAACGAGTGGGGATGGTACAAAGTGGAACGAGTGGGGATGGTACAGAGTGGAACGAGTGGGGATGGTACAGAGTGGAACGAGTGGGGATGGTACAGAGTGGGGATGGTACAGAGTGGAACGAGTGGGGATGGTACAGAGTGGAACGAGTGGGGATTGTACAGAGTGGAACGAGTGGGGATGGTACAGAGTGGAACGAGTGGGGATGGTACAGAGTGGAACGAGTGGGGATGGTACAGAGTGGAACGAGTGGGGATGGTACAGAGTGGAACGAGTGGGGATGGTACAGAGTGGAACGAGTGGTGATGGTACAGAGTGGAACGAGTGGGGATTGTACAGAGTGGAACGAGTGGGGATTGTACAGAGTGGAACGAGTGGGGATGGTACAGAGTGGAACGAGTGGGGATGGTACAGAGTGGAACGAGTGGGGATGGTACAGAGTGGAACGAGTGGGGATTGTACAGAGTGGAACGAGTGGGGATGGTACAGAGTGGAACGAGTGGGGATGGTACAGAGTGGAACGAGTGGGGATTGTACAGAGTGGAACGAGTGGGGATGGTACAGAGGGGAACGAGTGGGGATTGTACAGAGGGGAACGAGTGGAAATTGTACAGAGGGGAACGAGTGGAAATTGTACAGAGGGGAACGAGTGGGGATGTTCTGAGACGTTTAAAGCCGACTTGCAAAGCACAATGCGGTAAAGCCCCATGCGGTACAGCCCCATGCGGTAAAGCCCCATGCGGTATGTACGCACATGTCTTCGCACACCTGCCCGGGGGACCACGGGGATGGGGGGGAGTGAAGAGGGGGGAGGGGACGGGGAGAAAGGGCCGGGATGGTGCGGAGGGGAACAGGCGGGAGAGACAGGGTGGAGGATGCCGCACAGTGTGTACACACCTGAGTACAACGGTTAAGTCAGGAGAAAGGCACACTGCCCAACAGCCATGAAACGAACCTCCTGCTTCCGAATTTCAGAATTTTGCTCTACCAATTTCACCCCACCCTGTCCTCCCTGCTGCTGACGTGTATCGCATGGAAGGCAGCAGTTGTGCAGGTGGGACTGAAACAATCGGCTGAAAACTGATGACAGAAGCTCGTTGGGAGCAACAGTGAGAGAGACCGCCACTTGCGCTGCAGTCGGCTTACTCCCGGAGCTATTGCTACTCAAACTCTTGTCGCGATCCGTGACGGATCCAGCGGTCCTGCCACTTCCATTCGTACGGCCGTTAGATCCACAGGTGCTCAAACCAGCTGGGATTCTGAAAAAAACCTCGAAAGCCACGTCGGATGCTGTAAGATTCTTATTGAATTCGCTTATGATCGGTTAAAGCCAACCACTGCCTTGAATTCATATTCGGCGCTTTCACTGTAGACGGAAAGGCCCGTAGTAGTACTCTCTCGCTGTCGATGACTGAAGCCCAACGAGACTCATAATCCTTGAACAAGCTGATCCTAGGAGACCATCGGCACACTATTCCATCCGTTTCACGAGGAACGCTTTCATCCGTTGGACGTTTTTCGAACCAGGCGACGCTATGATGGGTTCCTATTGCCTGAGTCAAGCGAGGCTTTTCTAACTGTGACTATCGTCTTGGGAGAGCTCGCCTTGGGAGAGCATGAGACCATCCCATCATATTCAGTCGTATGGGGGTGGATCAGTGCTTGGCGGTCCATTCTGATCGCATAACCTGCTTCTGCCATCCCAGAACCGTCGATGCGTCGTCTGAACACGTTGGTACTTGCCATGGAACGTTAGAACCTGTCCAATCAGAAACGTGACTGGGAAAGCGCGATCGGACCGTCGTTTCCTGACAAGTCTCGGGAATAATACCCGACGAGGGGCCTGATGATGTAACCTAGATCGTCTCGAGAGGACCTAGATTGTTGTTCACTGATACAATTCTGTGATGAGACAGACTCGTCGAAGCCCAAGGTTGGATTTCAGATTCCAGGCGTTGGCGAAGAGAAATTTCGGCAATTTGCGCTGGGCGAAAGCAAGCGAAGTGGCGAGGGACTTCAGCGATCCACACAAAAATCGTAATCCTCGTTTGATCCAAACCTATACATATATGCGTATGTATATCAGGCTCATAACAAGTTCACTATAATAAAACAACAAATATAATATATCAAACTAAGGTAGATGATGGCATGATTGACATTACTCATCACATTTCCGTCTCAATACGATCGTTTCAAAACGATATGACCTTATGTCTCCGACTCCGATGAAAAAAACTCGGGCTCGATCGTATCATATGTCTCATCGTATCAAGCATGGGACATATCAGATGGTCGTGGGAGTGAGAGAGTGGTAGTGCCTGAAGGTGCGACAGCAGACAGTGGGTGGTGTAGGCAATGTAGGAGTGAGGGAGAGGTGCTGGCTGAAGTCGCGAAGGCTATGGTGCTGCTTCTTGAGCGGAATAATTGAGGTGCCGATGGGAGGGTGATGGCAGGCAGAGGACCTGAGACGGGGAGACACATGGTGAATATTAAGAAGGGGGGGAGAGCTGAAAGTGGGTGCGATAGGGCTAAGATGTGGCCACAGCAAGATGGTATCAATCAGCCGGGTGTCATTCAACCTTTCACAGATCATTTCACGAGGAGAAAAACTAGAACACTGCTGAATTATCTGAGAGTCGCCTGAGAGCATGGCCACAGGGCACCCAGCAGCCTGGCCCAGCTGGGTTCACAACCACCACAAGGTCTTCCCAGTAGCATGCACGCACATCCTTCCCCCGTAGCTGCTCGTGCTTGAGCAAGGAAACCGCCTCCAAAACCAAGCAGCCCCGCCCTCGCCTCAGCAGCTTGCAGGATCCCCGCAGGTTGCACGCGGCAGCCCTGACTGCCCTGAGGAGCCCCGAGTGCCCTGAGGAGCCTGCACGTTGCGTGTGAACAGTGCTTGCGAGGCACGAATGCTGAAGGCGGAGGGGAGGTGACGGAGGGGAGTGGGTGAGAGGGTAAACAGCACACTGGCGTATGAGAGATGTGGCAGCCAGTCAGTGGTAAGGCCTGGAGTTAATGGGCTAGAAGACGCAGCTGATGAATGATTTCTCTTTGCTTGTATTCCACAGGTCATGACATACCAAGACCATACGATTGAACACTGCAAGGCATTGATGAGGAGAGCATTGACTTGGGAACCAATGACAAGACATCGACTCATGGCTGCCAGCTCATGGCTCATGGCTCACGGCTCATGGCTCAATGCGTTGGGCAACTAATGGCATATCATCATGGCTTATAACTCATGGCCCATGGACCATAATCCTCAACCATGCCCGTGCATTCCAAGGCTAAAGACTCAGCAACTGGGAAGAGGGCAGACAATTGGCGTTAGGCATTGGGCGGTGTGTGTGTGTGTGAACCATTTCACAAGGCCTATGCGGCGTCAATAAGCAGTAGGCCAAAGGCATAGGGTGAGCGTGAGAGGCATAAGCAGTAGCGACCCACACAGCATGATGCATGGCTGAACATATTAGTCCCTGGCGTGTCGTCACGGCTCATGCATCGTGGTGCACAGCGGACCTTAATTTATTGAACGCGATTCATGGCTTCTGGGGGCCATGGATTATGGCGTCCAGATTCTGGTCCGGATTAGCCACACCATTTCACGTTCCTCCACTTCCACACAACGAGTTGCGATGTGGTGCGAAGAGTCGAGTGAGAATAAGTGGTGTGAGAAGGATTGTGACGTCATGAAAGCAAGGCCAAGGTGGAGATAAGGCCAAGCAAATTTTCGAGTGCTCATCCACTTTCACGCCTCTCCACTTTCACGCCTCTCCACTTTCACGCCTCTCCACTTTCACGCCTCTCCACTTTCACGCCTCTCCACTTTCACGCCTCTCCACTTTCACGCCTCTCCACTTTCACGCCTCTCCACTTTCACGCCTCTCCACTTTCACGCCTCTCCACTCTCACGCCTCTCCACTTTCACGCCTCTCCACTCTCACGCCTCTCCACTCTCACGCCTCTCCACTTTCACGCCTCTCCACTCTCACGCCTCTCCACTCTCACGCCTCTCCACTCTCACGCCTGACCTGCCACCTCCCTGACAGAGCACTTCCTTGAGGAAGAAAGCTAGCAGCACCCGATAGTTTGGCTACTAGTGACCTGCTGGGGTGATCCATAATCCACCCACGACCCCCTCACCACACACCCACCCCCTTTTCCCCTGCTCGTCGAGGATAAGGCTTGAGCTGGGAGCGGTGGGGAAGGAGGGTGCGGAGGGCGAGGGTATGGGGAAGGGACAGGATGGTGCCTTGGTGAACAGTGCGCCCGCTTGTGGGGTCCGAGTCCGTGCCGTGCACTGGGGCAGACGTGGGTGCTGGAGTCGCAGGTGCAGTGCAGAGGTGGAGGGGAGCGGAAAGTTACTGGCTACTGCACTGTACACACCTGGGGAGGAGAGAGGGGAGAAGGGGGGCAGTGGAAAACAGAGGGACAAACGGAGAGAGCCACGGTGGCGAGTGATGCAGGCTACTGGCTGCACCATGCTCACCTAGTGACG